AGTGTAGAAAGGTTTGAGCTCATATCATATATGCATGGCATGGATTAGACTACAGAGGGATGTGAGCAACCTGAGAAACTGAATGTAGAGCCTCTAGGGGAGCCTAGACATGCCTATAGTTTGGAAAGTTATTATTGCTACAGGACAGAAACCAGCCTGAGTTAAACTCCTCAAGTGCTAAATCCTCTTAGAACCAGAAAGAAATTATTTCACAGGAAGCAAATGCACACTGCTGAGAGGCTGGAATCTGCAGTATTAATCCCACTTGTGGAAGTTACTAAAGGATTTACAACCAATTAGAGATCTCTGTTTTGGAAGAAGGAGGTGCTGCATGTTTTGCTTTGTGTCCCAGGAGAGATTCCTGCATAGAGAAACCCGATTTCTGCTTAGGTATGAGGAAACCTGTTTAGCAGGGTGGACATGTTTTTTCCACATGACATCCAGCAGCCCCTTCCCTGAAATTCCATTGTGTCCTGGAGACCATGGAATCCAGTGATGTCACCTGGTCACCTGTGTTGTAGCAACACCAACTGCCTTTGGAGAGTCCTTCAGTACCCTTAACATTCACAGATGAACATATTGGCAAGATTGGGTGATTCCCCTTAGGAAAGACTATGGAGAGGGGAGAGAGACCAGAAGAAGGATGACCTTCAGCTTCAGTTTAAACTCTCAGTGAAGAAAAGGTTCAAAAGGAAGAACAGCAATTCCTGGGCAGAAGATGGGGAACTCCTAAGAGAAGGTTGTTTTTATCTTGGAATTTGGGCAATGGGGTACAAGAACTGGTGTTTCTGGGAAGTATTTTTGCATTACTGCTTGACAGGGCTTCTGTAAATCAAGGATTCCAGGATTGTAAATTGTCTCTCCCAGAAGCTAGGAACTGGCAAGGCAAAAGCTTTTCTCCTATGAGATCTTGGTTTAAAAATCTTACAGTACAATGATGGTTGATGGAGGAAGAGCAACATAATGGGTGACTAGTAGAGTGTGCCCAGCTCCAGGCAGGTCATGACTGTACTGGCACACCAGTGAATAACTTTAAGTAGTATGCTCCTTCTCTATGTGGCCTGATTTGTCCTTTGACTTGACTTTGTGAGTCTGGTGATCCTGTTCTGCACCTGTAACACATCCCCACCCACCTATAGCCATGCATTTGGAGTGACATTTCAGGATGTTTAGGGTTATCAAAAATGAATTTCCCATTTAACTTCCATGAGTTTGTAGGGTGTCTGCAATTTGTGTTGTTGTTGAATTCTAATATTAAACCATGATGGTCTGATAAGGTGCATGGAGTTATTCCAATTTTTTGTACCTGTTGAGATTTGATATGTTTCCAAGTATGTGGTTGAGATTTGTGAAGGTTCCATGTGGCACTGAGAAAAATGTATATTCTTTTTTAATTTGGGTGGAATGTTCTATAGATTTCTGTTAATTCCAATAGTGTCATAACTTCTATTTGTTGCTTTGCTTCTTTGTCAAGTTTCTTTCTGGTAATCCTGTCTAGAGTTAAGAGTGTGGCATTGAAGTTTCCCACTATAAGTGTGTGGGGCTTTCTATGTGATTTGACTTTTAGTAATGTTTCTTTTATGAACATGGGTGCCTTTGTATTTGGGGCATAGATGTTCAAAATTGAAATTTCATCTTGGTGGATTACTCCTGTGATGAGTATGAAGTGCCCTCCTTCATCTATTTTGATTTATTTTATTTTAAAATCTAATTTGTTAGATATTAGGACTGGCACCCTCACTTGTTTCTTGCGTCCATTTGATTGGAAAATCTTTTCCCAATCCTTAACTCTGAGGTAGTGTCTGTCTTTGAGGCTGGGGTGTGTTTATGGAAGCAGCAGAAGGATGGGTTCTGTCTCCGAATGCATTTTTTTTAGCCTGTGTCTCTTTATAGGCAAGTTAAGACCATTAATATTGAGGGATATTTACGACCATTGGTTGCTCATTCTTGTTTGTTTAGGAATAGTGCTTGGTGGTGATGGTTTTGGCTGTTGGTAAGGTGGGATTATCTATTGCATATGTTTTTCTGCTTGTAGTTACATCCCTTGGGTTGTGGTTTTCCTTCCAGAACTTTCTGTATGGTTGGGTTAGTTGATACATATTGTTTAAATCTGGTTTGTCATGTAATATCTTGTTTTCTCCAACTATAGTGACTGAAAGCTTTCCTGGGTATAGCTGCCTGGGCTGGCATCCATGGTTTCCTAGTTTTGGTAGAATTCTATCCAGGACCTTCTAGCTGTCAGAGATTCCATGGAGAAATCAGGTGTGATTCTGATAGGTTTGCCTTGGTATGCTACTTGGACTTTTCCTTTGCTGCTCTTAATATTCTTTCTTTATTCTGTATGTACAGGGATTTTTCTTTTATGTGGTGAAGGGATTTCCTTTTGTGGTCCACACTATTTGGTGTTCTGTAGGCTTCTTGTACATTCATTGACATATCTTAAGTAAAGTTGGGAAAGTTTTTCTTCTAGGATTTTGTTGAATATGTTTTCTTACCCTTTGAGGTACATTTTTCAACTTCTATACCTATTTTTCTTAGGTTTGATCTTTTCACAGTATCCCATACTTCCTGGACATTTTCTTTTAGGGATTTGTTGGACTTCAGATTTTTTTTTGGTCCATGAATCTATTTCCCTTTTGTTTTTTGTTTTACAAGACAGGGTTCCTCTGTATTGTTTTGGAGGCTGTCGGTCCAGCCTGGCCTCGAACTCACAGAGATCCGCCTGCCTCCTGAGTGCTTGGATTAAAGGTGTGCACCAGTCTATTTCCCCTAGTGTATCTTCAACACCTGAGACTCTGTGTTCCATCCCTTGTATTCTGATGGTTATTCTTGTATCTGTAGTACCTGACCATTTGCCCAGCTTTTCTATTTCCTTCAGACTGTATCTTTATTGTCTCTGTTTCAGCTTTCAAACTTTGCCCTGTTTGAATTGTTTCTTGTAATTTTTGCTTTGTCTTTTCCTCACTTTCTTGCATTTGTTGAAGTTTTTCGTTTGTCTTATCTTCCATTCCTTGCTTTTTTTGGATTTTTTCCTCCATATCTTGCAATTCTTGCATAAAAATCCCCTGCCTCTGCATCCAAAAAGTGAAATTTAAGAAGTGTGCCTACATGCACAGTTATGTTTAATAATTGATATTATTTTCTGTTTAGGTTTTTTGAGAAATTGTACACATGTGTAGAAAATGAGTTGCTTAGGATGATGAAAGTTAGAAATCAGATGTCCTAGAAATGGAGCTAGGGACACTGATTACCATGTGGATGTTGGAAAACAAACTTGGGTCCTCTTAGAAGAGTAGCCTGTGCTTAAAACCATTGAGCAACAGAACTCCAATGAAATGGTCAAAACTCACAATTTTCATCCCATCTCAAACTACAACAGTGCAGAGACTGTTAGAGTGAACCATTACAGCCCCTGGCTTTCTGTTTCATTTCTCACATTTGAATTTCTATTAAAACTGTTTCTTGCCAGGCATTCATGGTACATTTTTAATCCCAGTTCTCAGGAGACAGGCATGCAGATCTCTGTGAGTGTGTGGCTATCCTGCTCTACAGAGTGAGATTCATTATAGCCAAAATTCTTTCACTTATACACACCCTCAAAATAAAACCTGACATCTTTTCATGCTCAGGGTGAGGCTGTAGTCCTCTAATAACAAAAGTTGACAGGCAGAGAGAGCAAAACTCTGAGTTAGATACCTGACATTTGAACAAATTTTGATCCATAAAGCAAGGGTGACTCTCCATGATAGACCAAGTAAACATGAGTCTTCTGACATTAATAGGATACTCCCACCCCAACTCTGGGTAGAGGTGAGCTTGGGGCCCTGTCGCAGGCTCAACTGCCGCTTGTCCATGCTGGGAACTCCTGTACTGTGAACTGCAGGTGGGTCTATTGAACCCTGAGAAGCAAGTAACTGTGAGCTTGTTGACATTCCTGTGCTGTTTCTGTTCCCAACCATAATGAGAGGGAGTGCTTCAGATCCACCTGTAGCCACTGAGAGTCCCATCAGTGTATTGAACCTACTTGTACCCACTGGAAAAGAATCTTTTACTGGTAAACACCAGGAGTGGAAGAGACCCCACCTGTACTCACTCCATGAAGTAGTGCAAAGATGACATTATAAGAACACATTCAAAAACAGAAAAAAATATATGGGGGTAAATGTGTTTAGGGATGTTACACCAGGAATATCTGAATATCTCAGTACAGATAAAGACAAGAATGATCTTAAAAACAACTTCAATAAGATGTTACATTCCATAAAATAGGAAATGGGAAAATCCTTTAAAGAAATGGAAGAAAAAATCTAACCAAAAATTGCAAGAATCAAGTCAAACAGTGCGAGGCTATAAAGCTCAAATAGAGACAATGAAGGAGCACAGTCTGAGAAAATCAGGAGTGAGAAAAGCTGAGTACATGATGAGGAACTACAGATGCAGGAATAACCAAAATAATTCAAGTGATAGAAGAGAGAAATCAGAAACTGAAGATTCACTAGGAGAAATAGATTCATTGATAAAATCCTAAAACCAACAAATCACAAACTCAAAAGATCCATGAAAATATGGGATTCCATGAAAAGGCCAAACCTAGCAATAATAGATATAGATATAGAAGAGCGTGAAGGAACCCACCTCAAATTTGCAAAAATCATATTCTACAGAATCATAGAAGAAAACGTTTCACCCTCCCGGAAGGACCACCCTGAGTCTGCCCAAAAATCAGTCTTCAGTGTCTTCCGGTCCTTTCCAGGTGCTTAAGGTGATTGCAGGCCCTGCTCTGAGTCCTAACTCCCAACATCCCCTGGCTCCATCTCCCTGAGCATTTTCTGTGCCTAGAAAAGACCTGCCCCTCCTGGAAGGACCACCCTGAGTCTGCCCACACCTCAGTCTTCAGTATCTTCTGGTGCTATCCGGGTGCTTAAGGTGAGTGAGGGAGCTGTTATGAGCCCCAACACCCTATATCCTGAATCTGTCTCCCTCGGTGTTTTCTGCACCTAGGGAGGACCTGCCACTCCCTAAAGGAACACCCTGAGTCTACTCACACCTGTGTCTTCCAGTCTTTACCAGTGCTCAATGTGAGTGTGGGCCCTGCTCTGAGCCAAAACAACCTACATCCCCCAGTTCAGTGTCCCTGGGCATTTCCTGTGCAAGAGAGGACCTGCCCCTTCTGGAAGGATCACCCTCGGTCTTCCCATCCCTCATTCATCAGTGTCCTCCGGTCCTTTCATGGTGTTTAAGATGAGTGGGGGGGCACTGCTCTAAGCCCCAAATCCTTACATCCCTGACTCCAACTCCCTGGGTACTTTCTGTTCCTAGAGAGGACCTGCGTCTCTGGAAGGACCATCATGATTCTGCCCACACCTCACTCTTCATGGTCTTTCAGTCCTTTCCCAGTGCTTAAGGTGAGTGGGGACCCTGCTGTGAGCCCCAACTCCCTACATCTTGGTCTCTGTCTCGCTGGTCGTTTTCTTCACCTAGAGAGGATCTGCATTCCCAGAAGAATCACCCTGAGTCTGCACACACGTTTGTCTTCCAGTCCTTTCCCAGTGCTTATGGTGGGTGTGTGCCGTGCTCTGAGCCACAACTCCCTATATCCACCAGCATCATCTAACTGGGCATTTTCAGTGCCTAGACAGGACCTGCCCCTCCAGGAATGACCACCCTGAGTCTGCCGATACTCAGTCTTCAGTGACTTCTAGTCCTTTCCTGTTGCTCAATGTGAGAGGGGGCGCTGATCTCAGCCCCATCTCCATACACCCCTCTATCCATCTCCCTGGGCATTTTCTGCACCTACAGAGGAATTGCCCCTCCCAGAAGGATGAGCCTGAGTCTGCTGAAACCTCAGTCTTAGGTATCTTCTGGTCCTTTCCTGGTGCTTAAGGTGAATGAGGGCCACGATCGGAGACCCAACCCCCTACATCAGAACCATTCTCTACACTTAGAGAAGACCTGCCCCTTCTGGAAGGATCACCATGACTCTGCCCACTCCTGTGGTTTCCAGTCGTTTCCTGGTGCTTAATGTGAGTCGGGGCTCTGCTCTGAGCCTCAGCTCCCTACATCTCGGACTCCATCTCCTGGGAGTTTTCTCCTCCGAGAGAAGACCTACACCTCATGGAATGATCACCCTGAGTAAGCCCACACCTGTGTCTTCTGGTCCTTTCCTGGTGCTTAAGGTGAGGGGTGGCCATGCTCTGAGCCCCAACTCCCTACATCCCCTGCTCAGTCTCCCTGGGTGTTTTCTACAACTAGAGAACACCTGCACTTCCCAGAAGGATCACTCAGTTTCTGTTCACACCTGAATCTTCTGGTACTTTCCCAGTGCTTAAGGCTAGTGGGGGCCCTGCTCTGATCCCCAATGGCCTACACCCCAAACTCCATTACCTGGGCATTTTCTGTGCCTAGAGAAGACCTGCCCCTTCTGGAAGGACCACCCTGAATGCTGCCACACCTCAGTCTTCAGTATCTTCCGTTCCTTTAAGTGCTTAAGTTGATTGGGGGCCCTGCATGAATCCCAACTCCCTTATCCCTGGCTCCATCTCCCTGGGTGTTTTTTGAGCCTAGATAAGACCTATGCCTCCAGGTATGAGCACCCTGAGTCTGCCCACAGTTGTGTCTTCCAGTCCTTTCACAGTGCTTAAGGTGAGTGGGGCCCTGCTATGAGCACCAACTCCCTACATCTCCAGCTCCTACTCCCTGGGCGTTTTCTGCGCCTATAGAATACCTGTCCACCCCTGGAAGGACCAACTTGAGTCTGCCCACAACTCAGTCTTCAGTGTCTTTTGGTCCTTTCCCGGTGCATAAGGTGAGTGGGGGCCTTGCTCTGTGCCCAAACTTCCTACATCCCTGAACCCTATACCAGGGCATTTGCTGCGCCAAGAGAAGAACTATGCTTCCTGGAAGGGTCACCCTGAGTTCGCCCACACCTGTCTTCTGGTCCTTTTCTGGTGCTTAAGGTGAGTGGGGGCCCTGTTCTGAGCCCCAACTCCCTACATCCTTGGCTCCATCTCCCTGGGCATTTTCTGTGCCTAGAGAAGACAAAGGCCTCCAGGAAGGATCAGCCTGTGTCTGCCCACACCTGTGCCTTCTAATCCTTTCCTGTTGCTTAAGGTTAGTGTGGGCGCTGCTCTGAGCAGCAACTCCCTACAGCCCTGGCTCTGTCTCCCTGGGTGTTTTCTCTGCCTAGAGAAGACCTGCACCTTCCAGAAGGAACACCCTGAGTCTGCCCACGCCTGTGTCTTCTGGTGCTTTCCTGGTGCTTAAGGTGAGTGGAGGCCCTGCTCTAAGCCTAATCTCCCTACATTCCCAGCTCCCTCTCCCTGGGCATTTTCTGCACCTAAAGAAGACCTGCCGCTCCCAGAAAGACCATCCTGAATCTGCCCATACCTCAGTTTTCAGTGTCTTCCAGTCCTTTCCTGGTGCTTCAGGTGAGTGGGGGCCCTGCTCTGAGCCTCAACTCCCTACATCCCTGACTCATTCTCCCTGGGCATTTGCTGCACCTAGAGAAGATCTATGCCTCCTGGAAGAATCACCCTGAGTCTGCCCCCACCTGTGTCTTCTAATCTTTTCCTGCTACTTAATGTGAGTGGGGGCCCTGCTCTGAGCCTCAACTCCCTACAACCCTGACTCTGTCTCTATGGGTGTTTACTGCACCTGGAGATGACCTGGACCTCCTCGTAGTACAACCGTGAGTCTGTGCACACCTCAGTCTTCATTGTCTTCCAATCCTTTTCAGGTGCTTAAGTCCCCTCTGATATCTGTCTTGTACCTTTAGCCACTGAAGTATTTTACCTGCTTGAACGAACTGGGAGGGATCCTTATATCCAAACCCACCAGGTGTGGAAGAGACCCCATAGGCTTCCACTGAAAGAAAGGATGGGGAAAAGGCAATAGAAAAACACAGCCAACAACAGTACAACCAGTATGATACCACCAACTTCTAGCAAGTCTACAAAAGCAAGACCTGAACATATCAACACAGATGAAACAGAAAAGAATGACCTTCAAAACAACCTCCTGAAGTTGATAGATGCCCTCAAAGAGGATATGAGAAAATCCCTAAAAGACATGGAAGAAAACACAGACCAAAAATGCAAGAAATCAACGAATCCTTTAATGAAAGCAAGGAAAGCCAAGAAAAAAAATCAAACAGATGAAGGAAACAATTCAAACAGTTTAAGACCTGAAAACCAAAATGGAGACAATAAGAAAAACACAAACAGGTAATTCTGGAATTCGAAAGGCTGAATAAACAATCAGGAACTACAGATGCAAGTATAACTAACAGAATATAAGAGATGGAAGACAGAATCTCATGCACTGAAGATAAACTAGAGGAAATAGATTCATCGACACAAGAAAGTCTTAAATCCAACAAATGCTTAACACAAAATATCCAGGAAATATGGGACACCATGAAAAGGCCAAATGTAAGAATAATAGGCATAGAAGAAGGCGAAGAATCCCACAGCTCAATGGTGCAGAAAACATATTCAACAAAATCACAGAAGAAAATTTTCCCAACCTGAAGAAGGAGATGCCTATGAAACTACAAGAAGCTTAACGAACACCAAATAAACTGGACCAAAAAAAGTCCCCTCTCCATCTAATAATCAAAACACCAAACATACAGTATAAAGAACGAATATTAAAAGCAGCAAAGGAAAAAGGCCAAGTAATAGTAAAGGCAAACCTATCAGAATTACACACAACTTCTCCATGGAAACTATTAAAGCCAGAAGGTCCTGGATAGATATTTTATCAACACTAAGAGGCCACAGATTCCAGGCCAGACTTCTATTCCCAGTAATACTCACAATCACTATAGGTGAAGAAAACAAGATATTCCATGACAAAACCAGATTTATGCAATATGTATCCACGAATCCAGCCCTACAGAAAGTTCTAGAAGGAAAACTCTGACCCAAGGAAGTTAGCTACACTCAGTATAACAAGGGCAATAGATAATCTAATTATACCAGAAATTAGAAATAGGAGAGAAACTAACCCTTAAAACTACCACTAAAAACGGATCCAAGGCAAACAAGAATCGAAAATGATCATTGATATCCATGAATATCAATGGCCTTAACCCACCAATAAAAAGACACAGGTTAACAGAATGGATAAGAAGATAGAATCCAATCTTCTGCCGCATATAAGAAACACACCCCTATTTCAAAGACAGACACTCCTTCAAGGTTAAGGTTTGGGAAAAGACTTTCAAATAAAGTGGATGTAAGAAGCAAGTGGGTGTAGCTATCCTAATATCTAAAAACTAGACTTCAAACTAAAATTAATCAAAAGAGATGAAGAAGATCATTTCATATTCATTATAGGAAAATTCCATCAGGAAAAAGTCTCAATTCTGAACATATATGCCCCAAATATAAAGGCACCCACGTTCATAAAAACCATTACTACAACTCAAATCACACATTAACCCACACACACTTATAGTCGGAGACTTCAACACACCATTCACATCACTGGACAGGTCCACCAAACAGAAACTTAACAAAGAAACAATGGAAATAACAGAAGTTATCATGCAATTTGTTTTAACTGACATCTATAGAACAGTGCACCCAAACAAAAAAGAATATACCTTCTTCTCAGCACCACACAGAACCTTCTCTAAAATTGACCACATACTTGGCAGTAAAGCAATCCTCAAGAGATACAAAAAATTGGAATAACACCCTGTATCCTGTTGGGCAACTACGGCTTAAATTAGAATTCAACATCAACACAAATTGCAGAAATCTAATAAATTTAGAAAACTGAACAATGCTAAATTGCATCACCCCTGGGTAAAGGAAGAAATAAAGAAGAAACAAAAGACTTCCTAGAATTCAATGAAAATGAAGGCACAATGTACCGAAAATTTGGGATACTTTGAAAGCCGTTCTAAGAGGAAAATTCATAGCACTAAGTACCCACATGAAGAAGCTGGAGAATTGCCACATTACAGAATAAACAAAATACCTGAAAGCTCTAGAACAAAAAGAAACTAACACAGGAGGAGTACAAGCCAGGAAATAATCAAATTGAGAGATGAAATCAATGAAGTAGAAACAAAGAAATCAATACAAAGAATCAACGAAACAAAGAGTTGGTTCTTTGAGAGAATCAACAAGATAGACAAACATTTATCACATCTAACTAAAAGACAGAGAACATGCTAATTAGCAAAATCAGAAATGAAAAGGGGGACATACTAACAGACACTGACAAAATCCAGAGAATCATCAGGTCATACTTTGAAAATATGTACTCCACTAAATTGGAGAAACTAAAGGAAATGGATGATTTTCTGGATAGATATAACTTACCAAAATTAAATCAAGAAGAGATAAACAATTAAAAAAATATATATGCCATGAAGAAATAGAAGCAGCCATAAAAGTCTTCCAACCAGGATAACTCCAGGGCCAGATTTTCCCTTGAAATCACAGAACTCCTACTGCCTATGCCTCTTATGTCAGGTGTTTAAATAAAGGTGTGTCTTTCCTTGCCTGAAGAAAATTACATTTCCACTTATGGACATAAGAGTATGGGTGAGAGTCCCACCCTTGGTCAATATTTGACACAACATTGGCTGTTCTCTTTGCTTGACCATTTCCCATGTAAAGTATTCTATAGATACAGCAGGTTTATTAATTGCCAGATGAGCACAGACAGATGTTTCTTCTGCAAGATTGTTCAGAACTTTCACATGGTGTTTTGTAATAGACTCTTGTAGACAACCAGGATGTTGATTTCCAACTTTCACATAAGGATAACAATGCTGGTTTTCTTATTTAATGAAAGACCCCTGAAGTGCCGATGTTCTCAGGCACACATCTGAGGAAAAGTTGCTCCACCATGACAGTCTCCATCTTGTATAATGCCTGGATGTACGGTTTCTTTCCATTATGAGCCAAGAGCATGCGCCATGACTTTGTACAGTTGTTTAGGCAGCAATGTTGTATTATGTCTATCTACAAAATGAGATGCTCCAAGTGTAATTCACCATGAACATTATGTTTTTCTCTCCTATCCTATTATCCTTGGGTTTAATAGGCTATTTCTTTTATAATAATGTTGTTCCCAGACTATTAGGGTATGTTCTGTTCCTTTTCATAGAGCATATATATATTACACAGATCAAACTGTGACTCTTGTTAGAGCCTGAAAATATTCAAGGACAGGTTACTGTTAAACCCTTCTTACTTAGGGATACAAACAATGACTTCTGTCAAAAGATTAATGTTGAGCATCAGGCACAATTGTGTTTTTTGTGAGGTCAATTCTTGCCAGCTGACATGGAATGACCCATTAGGGTGGTGTTCTAACTGCATTCCTCCTCCTCCAGATAAAAAACTGCAACATGAGCTAGAACACGCTTCAGGACATGATGAGACCTTCTTGCAGTAAGCGTCCCAGTCAAGTTACCTTCCAAGCTACGGTCCTCTCACCACATTGTATCGACAATGGGCAAGTTCTTAACTTTCAAAACCAGAGTCAGCCTTGCACTCCGTCCATGAAATCAATTTTTAACTCCTTAAAGGGAACATTTACAAATATATAAAATTAAAGAAGATAGTAATGGGGGGAAGAAATAAAGGAATAGCCCAAAGAAGGAAAATAACAAAGTCACACAAGATATAATCATACATGATTATAGAGGATGAATAATGGGAAGGGGGAAATTATCAGGAAAGTAGGAGAAAGAAGTAAAGAAGGTCAAATATAAAAGATGCAAACAATTATTTAGTAAGGAATGCATAAAATACATGTATAAATATAGAAATTCATAATTTATACATAAACTAATATATATCAACTGTGAGTATATATTCTTTGTAATATATATAATATATGTATATAATATATACAAGCTTATGTATAGAAATTAATGATAAGTAAGCAATTAATATGGTAGTAAAAGAATATATTTCATTTTGTAGACACATGGGGAGACTATTTAGTATTGTATTTTAATATAAAAAGGAAGGAATATTAATATTCTTTGATAATAAAATGATGTACAAAACTCATTTTTTTCAAAATAGCAGTTTACACTTAACTCCAAGGGTAGACCCAGAATAACCAAGGCTCAATATGACACCAAATAAATTCAAATTTCCCATGTGGTGCTGACACTCTGTATAAAATCTCTTGTGCCTTCAGGGAAACTAAGTTCAGCAGCTGTCCAAATTAGAAAAAGACACATACCTTACTTCAACCTCAGTCTTACCTAAGAATTGTCAGAAAACATTTCTGAACACAGATATGAAGGAAATGGTGGATAAGTTTGAGTCTTTAAGTTTCTTAGTCTAGAGTTTTACTTATGGGAAAGAACATCAACCAACAAAATTCATTGCAAAACTTCTGCACAGACTATATTCAATGAGATTAACTACTCATGCCATGTTTAATAATTCCAGTTGCTTGGCCAAGGATGGTTGGGAGACTCATCTCAGTGTATTCTGACATTAATGGTTGTACCTTGGCACATGCTTTGGGAAATGAAAACACACAAATATAGCATTGCCTCTCAGCTGCTACCTCCTTCTTTGGCCCATGGTAAACTTCCAGCTTCCTGAGCCTCCCTTTGGATCAGGGTTACCAGACAACAATTATGATTTAACAGTGGGTCTTACATGTTGTCACAAAAGACTGACCATCCTTTGCCCTCTGCATGCTAGTTAATGATGTATAGCTTCCTGTATTTGGGGGTCCCTGGCAGTGTGATCAGGACCTGTCACTGATGCATGGGCTGACATTTTGGAACCTGTTCCCCAAGTTCAATTCCCAACAAGTCTTGAAGTAGAGGGAAGTACTTGTTCCTAATCAACTTGATATTTCAGGGTTTGTTAACACCCAAGAAATGTCTCACCTTTTCTGAAAGGAACAAGAGTTGATGAAAAGAAGAAGCTGGAGAGATAGAATGGGAAGAAAGGAGGTATGACAAATTGTGAATTGTATGTAAATAAATGAAAAATGCTAAAGATAGATAAATGTGCTGAGATTAT